TCTTCCAGGTTTTCCCACCACACATGGAAGATCCATTGTAAGCCAGTCCCTCCACCACCTCAAATTAGCTTTTCCAGGTAAAACCATTCCCAAAGGCCCCACTCTCCCATGATATCTAGTACTTATCATTCATTACATACAGGTAAAGGCTATTTACTCTTCTGCTCATCCCCTTCTCTATTTGTCCCTATCCCTCTATACCTTTTCCATCACAGCTTTGCTTGGATATTGCTATAATTTGTCTTTGAGGAAGGATAAAGATGAAATATGATGTTGTAAGCAAGACACTAGAAGAACTTTAATGAGCTATCATATCCTGAGTTCACCACAGCTTTCCTGTGTGGCTGGAAGAGAAGCATTAATTTCAATGAAATCCAAGTTTCACTGGAGTAACAGTAACCCTCCTTACTAACTTTCCCTCAAGGTCTTCTCCAGTGAATTTCTACATCTCTGAGGTTTCTTTCCTTTTCATCAGAGCAGTCAGTGTAGAATGCAGCTGCTACAGGCAAGGGAGCTGCTTCTTACCTAATCCAGTGGGACAGGATCTTTTCATAGATCCCACTGTGATAATTTCAAACAATTTAACTATTACTAAATTCAACCTATATTTATAAGTAGGTAAGTATGTATAGAAGTGTTTGCATTTGATATATGCCCTTGTTCCCAGCCCTCGAATTTCACTTTTGTTCTGAAGATCTGATCCTGTGAAAACTCAGATGCAGGAATAATTTAATATATGATCAACCATGATAGCATCTATGGGACTATTCAAAGTACTCCTGGCAAAGGATTATGGCTGACCTGCACATTGCTTGATTGTGTGTAGGTAACGCAAGGAAATATATATATTTCATATACTCAGCTACTGATGCAGCTTTTAAAGTGCTCTAGAAACTGAAGAGATAAGCTTATACAGACTCAGTCATTCTATCAAGAGACTGATATTTTCTCAGATGATACACCAAGTACCCAATATGATCATCTGAATTAGCTAGCAGTTCAGGAATATTGATTTTAAATTGTCTTAGATAGGCTTCAACCTGAAATATATTAACTGTAATCTGCCTGCAATAGGCTACTAATAGCCTGAAATCTCTAAGTTGGCGTTTCATTGTTAATGAGCTAAACAGTGCATGTTTGGCATCCAGAGTTATTCTGGTGTCCCTAAATATCATGTGATTTTTGTGTTGGCTCTGTTGGTTTCAAGATCATTAGGGACTGTAAACAACATACAAGCAAACATATTAACTACAATGTGCTAAGAAGCAGTTCTAGCACACAGAGAAAATGACTGCCTTCAAGGCTAGAAAAAAACACCTCTGGCATGAAACAGTGACTGCTAGTCATGGAATTTTACAAAGTATTTTAGTATCTGTCCCTTTTTCAACCACAAGAAGACAGCAGAATTTCTAATGCATTTTAACAGCAATGCCATTTTTAGGAGTATATTAAATAATTAACACTAGTGTACATGCTGTAATTTGCTAAATGCATTTCAGCTGTACAGAGACACAGTTCTTTCCAAAACAAAACTAAAAATTAGCACCCAAATGCTAATTCAGACTAGAAGACACATTCTTCTGACCTTCTGTCAGATAGCTTTCTTCACTGCTTGTGCTGCATCCTTCTTTCTGTGGCTTACAGTTCAACCATTTAGCTTACCTCTTGTCTACAGAAAGTGAATTTGTTTTCTGTGTCATAGCATTTTTCTCTTTCTAGCATTAACACATTATATTTTTTAAAAAGTTTATATAATACTCTACTTGCATTTTTAATGTTTTGTTTATTTTAAAAACCAAAAGCTGAGCCTGCACATTACTGATGCAGAAAGCATAGTAATGGAAAAACAATCCCTTATTTGTCAGCTGAAATAATGCGTGCATTGAACCAAATTTTTCCTTTTAAATTAGAAATTAGAAAGTTAAATGTACATGCTAAAATAACCCATAACAAAAAGAGGAGGTGACTGTTGCTCTAATCTCCATTTAGTTGGATACCTAAACCTTCCCATGATTATTGTGGGACTTGGATGTTTAGCTCTAGGAGAATACTTTGAAACTCAGGATTTTAGTATTGATTTAATTTCCAAATAAATCCTTGAGTTAGGTAAGGGATAGAGAACAAGTGATGAAGAGATATTAAAAAAAAATCACCAGTGACCTTAAAAACTGCTGAATTTCGTAACAATCTTAGGTCAGACATTTAGTATTGATTAATTATTTAAGACAGTAATTCACATTAAAGAGAATTTACATTTCCTTGTCTTTAATAATATTTTAATGTTAATTTCATAGCTTGCATTCTTGTAAAATGTTGGAACTTTTATCAAGTCATCTTCAAATGTTTGGCTTTTTGACAGGTTTGCACAAGTCTTCAATGAGTATCATACAGCTTCACATACATATGGGATACATATCCATGGAGATAATATATGGAAAGTTCACTAACATATACACATTATTATATCCATCAGTTTAAAAGATTTAGATTTAAGGAATTAAATAATACTAGTATGTAGTGCAAAAATTTCAGTGTAACAGCTCTTGCATTTTTATACTAAATGTAACAGAAGGGTACAGCTCTGATAATAAAACGCTTGGTCCTATAAAGGCAGAAATAAAAAATTTTACTAGCTTGCTGATAGTTTGATTCGGAAGTCATGGGATGGATATGAAGTCTGATTTTCAAAACCTATGGGAAAGGTAGTGGAACAAGCAACTGTGAAGAGGCTTTCAAGAGAGTAGTGCTTCCAGCTCTGCAGCCAGGATGGACTGAATCATCCTTCTTAGTGCATTGAAACAAACAAACAAACAAACAAACAAACAAACAAACAAAAGAGGAAAGAGGAGGGGAAAGAGAAAAAGAAAAGCCAACCAGATAGCCCAAATGTCAGAGCACTTGTCTTGATTGTGCCCACTACTGGTGGTTTTTGCATCAGGCCACTTCTCTATAAGGTATGTCCATTTTCCTCTTATGTAGCAAGGAAACATTTGGGCTTTCACCATGAAACAAAAGTTACTAGTGAAAGTGCACTAAATGTTACAAAATTAACAAAACTAAATGTTACAGATTATTTACAAAAGTAAAGAAAAAGGACCATAAAAAAAAAAAAAAAGAAAAAGAAAAGACGTGGGAAAGAGCATTCAGAAGTAGAGCCATTGCCAGGCAATGGCCAGAGACTAACCTAATTTTCTGGATTTTTTACCTGTGCTTTGGACATGATTCCGTTAAGGCAAAAAAATTACTTGGACCATTCATTTCATTGTAGATTCTAAAAGGATTTTATCAAACAGATTTCTCTTGCCAACTGTATTTGGTAAAAAAGCATAAGTGAAATCAAATGGCTTTCTTGCAAGTTACAAATACATAGACTGAAGCAGGCAAATTCTAATTTCAAACTCCTTTCTTAAAAGTAGTTTTGGGCTTACACTCTTTGGTCTCATAACATATTAAGAACATTAGGAGATCCATTTTCATACAAGTTTGTTTCTTGGATAAGAAAACACATTTAATTTTCATCCAACACAATTCAGCAGCAACTAGGGCAGAAAAGACTCTTGTATTCCGAGGGCTTTCCAGTTGCTTCAGCCTCATAATTTTTCCCCCAACTGGCCTCCAAGCCCCTGCTGACAATGCTGGCTTTGCTCATGCTGAAAAGTAGTGCAGGGCAGAGGATGCCTGATGGGTACATAGAATTAAAAACCCCTTTTCCCATAAAATGCTGTTTTTTCAAATAGTGTTGTTCCCATCTGTGTAACAGTTTTTATTCTGCATGTTTAAAAGTAAATTTGGAAGGACTTTGTAACTAGGCTTAAATACTCACTAATTAACTATAAGTATAACTAGGCTTATATATCCACCTCTAATTATTGCATGATTAAAATAATAATGGTATGCTTTTTTGACTAATCAAATAAAAATGAATGTTTAACTGAACATTTCACAAATGTTTCATATCAATCAGCAAATAAAGAACACTTGAATTTTTATTGCAGTATTTACTTGTGTTACTGAGAGCTCTGTAAGGCATCAATGAATATAACAAACCCATTTATTTACAGCATATTTGCTCTCACTAGGATGGAAATGTGCACAGGAAAACAGAAAATGTTCTCTGGGATGTTTTAATAGAAAAATATGTAAATAGTTGGGAAAACAAGATCAGCAGCATATAACAGCAGCAAACTTCTAAAAGAAACCTAAATTGTTGCTGGCAGGTTTTCCCTTATTTGAATAGACAGGTGAAAATTCCCCTTTAGGACAGCGCATGCAGAGCATGCACGGTTTCTGAAAGAAAATTATTGCACAGGCTGGCTTCCAAAACTACTGTGGCTATAATACAAAATTAGATAACAAGTATGTGAATAACAAATACCTAAAAATAGATTCATTTGATAATTATATGAATGTAAGATAAATATTGTCCTTTAATGTGTGCTCTGACAACTGAGGATGTAATTTTATGAACAGCTTTCCAGTAGCACCTGGATCTATGCAGTGATTTCTCTCAGGTTGCTGGATAATTTGCCAGATTATATTTCAGGTGGATTAAACCCCCAGCCAACATCATCAGTCACCCACAGTAAACAAGTGTTTATACAGGGAAAAACATAAGGGGAGAGAAAGTAAATAAAGGTGAAATGACAGATTTTCTACTAGCATAAGGTACAGCTTCTCTTTCCTTTCTTATTTTTCTTAGAGATGCTCAGATTCCTGTATAATTGCATGCTTTTTAGTGCTGGAGAACTAAAAAATCACTGCAAAGGAATCAGACTTGCAATAACAACATGAGCAGGCGTGGCATTGAAGTGTTCAGACTCCTCACCTAACAACCCCTGCAAAAAATGCAATTTAACTCTAGAAAGACATTCCAGTTAATGCAGCCTTATGGTAACCTGCTGTATGGTTCAGATAATCTATTTGCAATCTGAAGTGATAGACAAGACCTCCATTTGTCACATCTTCCCCTGCAGATATGTGAAGAAAAAAACAGAACTCACCATTATTCACCAGGACATGGAGTGGACAATTCTTTGCTCTAAACTGCTGCACAAATTGCCGTATAGACTTCATGGAAGCCAAATCACAGTATAAAAACTCCACTGGGAGAGAAGAGGAGATAAAAACAAAAATACTTAAGTCAGTTACAATGATATAAAACACTTAGACATCAACGAGGACTCCTGTGATAACGTCACTAGTAGAGTAAAAGTTTTAAAAAGAAAATGGACTTTTGAAAATCATGGGTGAAGCTGGTCTCAGGTTCTTCCTTTCTTCTTCTTCCCTTCATTTCTATTTTTAAGCTATTGATTCCTCACAGAGCAAATAGGGGAAAAGTGGCTGTCAGGAGGTGAAGGAGGGCATCAAATGAAGCAAATATGCACCAGCCCTACTGTTCTTGCTACTGCCAACATTTAGGGAGAGGAGCTACAGTACTGCAGCAGCAAGATGATCAGGACATGGCAGCTGGAAATCAAGTGGGGAGAGGAGAGGACACATCAGACACTGCAGTTTCCCTGTGTTCCTGGTGCAAATATGCTGTCCTTTGTTTTTTCCCAGATTATCTGCTAAGTACCTGTGGTTGGAATAGTTTGTAAAACAAAGCTTTATTGCCAGTAGGAGAGACAAGCAGTAGCACACTCTGAACACACAACTCCATTGATCACTAAAAGCAAATAGAGCATTTTAAGTAATCTATGGCTCCTATGGGCATCCAGGGACATTTGGTATCCAGGTCACCTGGGAGCAATAACCAGCCATGAAAATGCCATTTAAATGTGGGTAAGAGTCTTGCTGACCCTTGGCTTTGGCAATAGCAGTGTGATTTGAGAGCAACATAGCTCACATGAATATTGTGGGTGGCATCCTGCCTATGCTGCTGATGTCAGTCAAAGGGCAGGGTGGCAGGGGGCTGGAAATCTGACTGAACCAATGAGGTTGCTCAAGGGGCAGAGTGTCAGTGTGTCAAAATATATTTTGTATGTATTTATTTCCAACAAAACACATATCAAACATGTATCTGTCCTCTTGTCCAAAGTGTTACTTAGCCACTGGCCTACACTAGAATGCTATAAAATTAATTAGTCAGAATAAAAAATATTACTCAAATCCCCCAGAAGCTTTAAACCCATCAGGTTTTAAAATTCTCCTACTGCAGTTGTTCAGCTTTCAACCCCGAGCTCTCACAGCACTGCCTCATCAATTGCCTTGCCTTGCATGAAGCCATGACCAGAGTTATGAGCCCCCAAGCTATTAAAAATGGGACCACACTCCCGGTACTAAAAGTGATTTCAGCATCTATTGTAATAAAAAAGAAAGGCCTAAAGCAAGGGGACCCGTGGGCTGAGCAGGAGTGTTCCTGTCGAGGATGATGCAGCGCCGGCGCTGGGTCTTCTGAGCAGTGATGTTCCAGATGAAGCAGCACAGGTTCAGTGGGTCAAAAGCCCCCTTTTTATCCTGTTTTTTGTCCATTTGGATTGGTTTCTTTTTGGATCCTTCATTTGCCTGAAGGTTTAAGGACCTTTATTGGCCCATTATAGCTCTGTCCAGGCTGGCTTGTTTCGCTTGGGGGGTGGTACACTTTACTTAGGTGTATTATGGTACATTGAGTACCGTATTTCTGACAACTACCCCTTTAAACCCCTTTTACCATAACCAAACCAACAGTACATGCTTAACAACTATCAACTATTTTACAATAGTTTCTAACCTACTTTTAACAATTATGAAGTGGAAAGAAGCAGTGCCCCCTGCCAACAGCAGTAGCTGTCCCCACACAAACAATCCAAATTCTTTAGAAGCTCTGCGAAGGGGAAGAAGAAAGAAAATTATGACCTTGTCCAACTGTTATAGCCTTTTAAAAAGTATATATTGCACACCAGGCTTTTGGTTTGTTTCAGCATTAGCTACATTTTAAGGAAGAATATATGATGCTCTACCACAGGTATTAGTCTCTCTTCTGGTTTCCTACTTGTCACCGTGGGAACCCAAGTCAGCCAACTGTTGTCAGCTCCACCCTGCCAAGACACTAGGGCTCTGAGGTGGATTTGCTTGAACCTCTTCCATAAAGTTACTTTTCCAAGGAAGAACAAAAGGCGGTTTAAATTGAGAAAGTCAAACAATACTGAGCAACCTTCTGTGACTAGGTCCATCGGGTAGAAAGGCAAAGGCTGTACAAAGCATCTCCCCTGGTTCGCTCTGTCCTCGCAGGGTGAGCCCTTGCTGACCTGTTTCGTTTCAGTGAGCTCCCAGATTTCCCAAGCTGTGGCAACCTCTGCACAGATGCTCAGTCTCCATGACAGTTTGGACCACCACATGAAAGGACTGGGGTTTCAGAGGTTCTCCATGTTTTCCCCCCTCCCTGGTGCCCTCCCTTCTCCTGGCCGCAGTGCCACTGCCCTGTGCTCCACAGGAAGGAACAGCCACCCCCTTCCCTGAAAATGGGTTCCCCCACCTCTTCTTATGAAAGAGTCAGCCTTTGAAAGAAGGGGAAATTAAAGAGATACAGTTCTTCAAAAATGCCTTTCTGAGAGGAGGATTAAACTATTGGATAAATAGGCTCCAGTGCAGGCTGTAATAAGAGACCTTTCCTCTTACTCTCTTCCCTGGTCCATCAGGGATGTTTATCCTGTCCCTACCAGGGTTCTGAGCTATAATGCCTCTTTATAGCATGTCAGTACAGTAAGAGATTAGGAAGGCCTGCAGGCACAACAAAAAGATAAATAAAAAAAGATACAACTGTTATTTAATTTCTTTCCAGGAGAACAGTTTCTTTAGTTCCCTTAATATGAAGCTTTAATAATCCTTATCTATTTGGAACCTATACAGTATTAGTCCTCTGAAATTGTCATAGTGAATGTATATAAAATATTCAGTAGCATTTTTCATTAAAAAACAAACAAACAAACAAGAATTCTTAGATTCTGCTTATAAGATAGTGTAAATACTTTTTTTTCAAAGTGGCTCTAAAGTAATACCACTTCAACAACACTGTCCCATGAATAGAAGTGGACAATTGCTTGATCTCTCTGCAGACCTTTAGGCAGTCAGCAATTTTCCTTTATTTCACTGAAGCCTGACACCTGGAGATGATAAGGAAATGTAGAAGTTATTAACTTCTGTCAGCGTTGTTCAGGCCATTCCTTCTGTGGCCTGGCTGCTGTATAAAACCACATCAATGGCACTGTAATTGCTCAGATATCCAAAACCTGGTCATAATAAATTATTAATAGTGCAACAATGAGTGGAGTGAAGACCTAGATGAAACTTTATCCTGACTGTGCTGTTGTTCTACTTCATTAGGCAGTTCAGCAAGGAAAGAGATTAGGGAAAGCATGATCCACTTCTTAGGAGGCAGTCACACTGCCAGTGGAGGAGTCACTTTCAATACAAAAATATTTATCTTGGTACAGGATACACTAAGCCTTTATCAGCTGTGGTATTTTGTGGCACAGTGCAGGCTCCAACCACTTCTCCATCACCAGTATGGACTCTGACAACATTATTGACTATTGGTACCACATATGCAAGACCTCTGAGGACATCTACTCCTAAATTTTAATCTCTTTCCTTATCTGACCTTGCATTGCCAAAAAAATGGTGGTTAGACAATGTGTGCCAAGAGAGTGCTTTTTAGCCTGACCAATGCAGTCTCATCCTTCCTGATAATTAACTTTTTGCTGCAGCTGTCCGATCTCCCCTCCCTTAATTTTCCAGTTCTGCACCACAAATGCTGTCCTTCACTATGACTGTACAGCGCCCAGACTAATGGCACACTAGGCCAAAGCTATCATTACTGAACTGATTTACTTGCTTACTCGGGAAGCATGTCATCATATTCAGCATTTGTAAAGCACGTGCCATCAAAAGATCAGAACACGCTTCAGAGAGGAAAACAAACAAACAAGCCAACCCCCAAACTTTTCTTTCTGCTCACAGGGCCAGAGTCCTGGCTGGTGCTGATTCGTGCGTGGCGGCTCTTTGCCAGGGAGGCGGATCCGCTGGCGCAGCACCGCGATGACCGCGGTGCCGTTCCCATAGAGAAACTGTGCCAAAACGTGGCTCCAAGCTGTGTGTTAACTCACAGGCAGGGCCTTGAGCAGAAACTCAAGTTTCTTCTTCATCCCAGGGTGATTTTTTAAAATCAGTGTACTGGAGAATTACAAATTGAGAAGCTAAGAACAATGCTAAGTTTTTAGACTATTTTGAAGCACGCACAAATATACTATGCACAACAATTTTTTGATGCCTTAGTTAATAAAGACCAGTGTTTAATAATGTGAACAAATGACCAAACTGGATTGTGAACTAGGAATGTAACTGGAATTACTTCAGGAAAGCAAGAATTCCAATGTTTTTCCATATAGGATTGGTATGAGCAAAAAGATGTGCATTTACAGCAAGAAAACTGAAACATGCCAAAATTCTTGTCTTTTACCACAGTAGTGGCCCCTCTGCTTTAGAGTTTAATAATCTAATAAGTTTTCAAAACTACCTAGCTATTTTAATTTTCTGTATGCTATTAAGTACAAAAATGGAGAGTAGAAGCTGCATACAGAATAAGCTACATACAGAATATCGGCAGCTAATGCTACTGAAATATTCAAATATCTACCTCTACCCCATTTTATCTCTCCTTTTCTTGTAATACTTGCTTTCAGGCACTTCTGTAGTGGCAGACGTGCCCGTATTTCTTTCTTCACACACACTGGATGTGTCCCATGTTCTTATCTAAATAATTTTTCCAATGAAATGAAGTACATCCATAATTGTCAGACACTGGCTAAAATTTTCACTCTTAAAAATACTTTTCTATTATTTTATTGTAATTTGATGACTCAGTTGTCAGAGAGTTATTAGCTAATGAAATAAAGAAGGAGCAAAATTTCCCAAAAGATTGCCAGGATTACTTACGCTATTAACCACATATGAATAGATATGTATATGATGGTGCTGCAATTGCTGCTTTCCTTAATTGCTTTCTTTCAAACATGTATCTGCCTGGTGCAGCAACTTTTCAGCCACAGGGAAGTCAGCACAATGTTTTCTGGTTGCACCTCATGAGTCCAAAACAGACCCCACAACGCCACGCTGGCTGCCACGT